GTATGTGAAAGTTTATTTTCTCCCGTGATTGTAGGAAAATGCTTTTCAACTTGACTATTTACATTTTGTAGTTTCAAGCAGTGTTCAAGATGGCTACCCCAATATAATATCGGTGAAATAATCGCATTTATCATATTATCACTTGTACGCCAGCTGACTGTGGTTATTTCCAGGCTCAAATTACTCAGGGGAATCCAGACATGTACCGGGCTGCGTAAAAAGCATTATTACCCCTATGCAATATAGACTCACCCAGAGTGGACGCGATCACAAGTTGGCGCCAGCGAGATGCGAAAGCCAATCGTTTAGTCAAAACCCAAGCAGTTAGCCAATTCGCTAGCAAGTTTGCAAATTGGCTGCCCCAATATAGTAACAAACATTGTATTTTTACACATATTGAATATGTGGCCCATATCAAACACTATGTGAAATGGTGACAACCAATTTATATTCCATAGAATATGCTCTATTTGAAAATAGAATATATGGTTTCAATTCAATCATGGATTTAAAAAATGATTTTTCAGAAAGTATACTTCATATATTAGTTAAGTGAAATTTGCTACATACTAGTAATATACATAACATAACTTTTCAGTCATTTTAGTTTTAGTGACAATTTTATAATAATATAATTTTATATATAATATAAACAAGATTAATTATTCAGGAATGATTACACTGAATCTAGTGTACAGGGGCTCAATGACCTTTTATCGATTGGAAATAGAGATATTCAACCAATGCATTGAAAACATTGGACAGGGATACTGATTGGAGTGCACTCAAAAAATTCGACAGTGTTGATGGATACATAAATTCATAGGTCATCACATCTATATATAACAATGAAGGCGATGACTACATCATTCCACTTCAATCTGGTGTGCACACTGTATATTGTGTTCTTCCGTTTTATGTGGCAAATATCGATTGAAAATGATTTGTTGAAAATGAAATTTGTGCATATTAATTAGATTAACTCTTAAATATACCTTGTGTATTCTGAAAGCTATCTCAAAAAGATTGAAACTTGGCATACATATGTGTGTTAAAAGCTTTATAACAGTAGGATTGATTATCTAATTTCCATTTATATTTTGGACACAACATTTTCAAATTCTAAATGCTCAAGCTGTGTCTCGAGCTGTTTCTTAAAATGAATGAAATGATTTTGATCAATCTTAGTTTGATGATAATACTTATTTGGTTACAGGTCATATTTTTTCAGACAAAAGTGGCTGACTGGTGGTCATTTTGTATTATTCATGTCCATGCATATTCTTTACTATATCGCCTGATTTATTTGCAAATTTGCATATACTATACTTATAATACTGCAGGTATTGTTGTTTTGTGGTTTGATACAATTTGTTGAATTGACTGCCATTTATCTAAAAACCCTGAAATCATATCCTGTTGATGTTTCTGGAACCATTCCCAAGAGATGGCCATGGTGATTTCAAAGAAAATTTGTATCATGATCATGCATACTTGATGTGCACGCTGTTATTTGGACAAAAATATTTGGGGGTGGACCTTTATTGGATTTGCCCATGTAACTATGCCCACACTTATTATTGCAAGACTGTGATCTGCTGTTTGTCAGAATGAACTTCAAGAATCTTTGTATCCGCTTTACATGGAAGCACTTTCCAGACTCCAGTACGTATTCTTGACTTTCAAAAATATACTCCAAGATAAAATAACACTTTATAAAATTTGCTGGATAGCTGTCCTAAAAAAAATTAAAAGGTTTTTTTTACAAATTGGAAAATTCCTATGAATGTATTCAAGCACGAAATTTATTTTTTATCATACTTTTGTTATATCTGATGTAATAAATTACAAACTAAATCATATCAGAATGTCTCACAGGCAACACGAAAAGTGAGAAATCTATAAGATTTGCTGAATATTATATGGAGTATTTCAGTTAAATTGCAATCGTACATGTACACAAGTATATACACATTATCTACAGAAGATAATGAAAGTATTCAATCAGTCAGAAATAGAAATATAGAGAAATATAGAAATATTGAGCAATAACCTTCCAAATATCAATAGTCGACGGTTCCATGTTGGTGAGCATAAATTTGAGACATATGTACAAGCAAACATTCATCAAAACTCTTCGTGGTCGTACGATAGCAGATATTGATGCGTACACACAGAATTATACATTTGAAGACATCCAGAATATTGCTATCCCTGCACTAACAATATCTCTGATGGCTATACCATCAAATCATATACAAATGATTACACTGCTAACATGAAAGAAAATATCCTTCAATATCTCTGATGGTTGTACCATCGAATCATGTACAAAAGATTACACTGCTAACATGAAAGAGAATATCCATTAACAAAGAACCACATTTCGTCAATCACACAGAGAAATGATGCTACAATCATAGATTTTCTCAACAATAAGTTGAAGAATATTAGTGGAGAAATCTATCATATGTTGATATCATCAAACCTGGTTCACTTCAATAATAATAAAGTTACTGTAGCTTGGTTGAAGCACTTGATAGATGTAATCGGATCACTCATTGGCGTGAATAGAATGACAAGTAGACACAATAAACAATCAATACAACACTTTAATAATGGATATATGTGGAAATCCATACTCATTTAATCAGTTTTATTGGCCACAAATGTACAGCGAAACAACAGCACAAACAAATAAATGTGTTATAAAAAAAGAGATACTTCAATTTCATACCGGAACATTCAATGTTTAGGAAGAATATTAAAAGACTATGACTTTATATCAAACATAAATTGCTATGATATTGACATTGGAGAAACATGGTTGAGTTCAGATTCAGCAAACCTTATATACCTTGATACTATTTCTAATCTGTAACTATAATTACAAACAAAGAGGAGGAATATCAATTGCTATAAAACAAAATGTCAGAAAAGGCATAACACATCACAAATCTACATACATCATCTGAGGACATGTCATAGTGTAACATTTAAAAACTTTTCCAACTCAACAACAGACATTTACTTGTGTTTCGCTTAATAATTCACCTTACCATTCAGGACGCTGCAAGTCAGACTTTTTTGACATTATAAAAATGACATATCCAGATTTTCCAAACATGGCAACATCATTTTACTTTGAGATCGCAACAGCAGAAAGGGAACACGACCTGATTATGTTGGTAATGGGTTTACATTACTTATTTCTTACATAGATGAGGACATACTAACAATTTGTAATAACAAGGACGCGACCATGAATGCACACGGTAAAGCATATTATTCGACATATGTAAAAATTGTAAAAATGTGATTTTTTAATCGAAGAATGCCTGGAGGTTTCATTGGCAATTTTACATGCTATGTCATTGAATATTTTGAATTACATGATTTCCATGTAAATCAAAACACTGCCAAATATCTTGCTTACTACGACTAGATCAGAATGTTGTACTAAATGATATACCAATAAATGACAGGACTTTTAAAGGAAAAAAAATCAGCCAGATAAACGAAAATGCAATCTACAGTTTTTATATCATTTTTCATTCTCTAGATATTCAACTTTTCGTCATGGCATCTTGAAAAGTGCAAACTATTGTAACCTCATTTGTTAATAATTATAGAATAGATAAAGGAATTAACTATGCTTTGGAAGATTTAAATTTAATTAATAATAATGCAGTCATTCATTTTCATAAATGAAAGAGTTTTGCGGAAAAGTTTAACGTACACCAATAAGAAAATGCTTTGACAAATAATTTAATATTCTTAAAACAGATTTGCGTAATGCATAATTAGCAAATATCCTTTTAACTTAAATTAATGAAATAATATTTGAACATTAATAATCGGGTATCTGAAAAAGAAATAAAGATAGCTATTAAAAAGTAAAAAACATCAGGGTATAATATAGCCCTCGATTATATAATCCAGAACGATTGAATATTAGTTTTTTTTCTCCAAACAAGTAGACAAAAATGGAATAATTGCTGTTTCTAGTTGTGTAGAATAAAACTTTGTGTAGCATATAATAAATTTTAGAGTAATTCAATGCGTCGAAGGCAACATTATAAACAATAATCAGGGAGCTTTCCGCGAGAGATACTGTAGTACATATCATATTTTTGTACTGAAAACTATCGTCAACCAATAGTTGAAATCAAAGGTAATTTATATATTTTTTCTCAGGATAACCATGAAATCATCCAAATTCTTGCAAGATTTGTACACACAGCTTTTCAGATTAGATGTAATTTGTTAGTGTGAGTTCACCAATAGATGAGTAATTGTATTACGTTTTTTTTGTGGCGAGAAAAATAAATTTTGAAATATTACTACATTTTGTAATTGTAATAGCGATATAAATTTTTCGGGTGAGGGAAATGTATAATAATAACTTGGGATGTATTTAGATCTCAAGTCTTGGTAAAACGGGCAGATAATGCAAAAAATGGTACTCGTTCTCTACACAATTGGTATTACATAAAATACAAACTCTTTCTGCGCGTGTATTATGAAATTTTCTATCAGTTTCAATACGTAGACAATGGGCAGAAATTCTTAGGCGAAACTTTCCTGTAACAGTCTTTTTGGACTGTTGTAAAATACTTCTCTTGACCAAATATATATTTAAATTTTCTATAAAAACACAGCTTCGGAAATAACTCGAGTCCACTTTGCCAATTTTGAATATCAATGTCCAAGCATCGCTG